GGAGGTTATGGCAGTGTTAGAGGAGTCGGTGGCTGAGGGCGTTCATGCCAGGCGCTCCCCTTGAGCGCAAGCAATTCAATTGCGCCAGCCAGCCTTTTACGCTTTGTTTGTAGCGTGTGCACCGTTCCCAGGACCATCTGCTGCACAGAGACGTTTCTACAGTGTAAATGCACTAACATCGGTGGAGTTGTACCAGGGGCAAAACTCACCCCGCTGGTCTCCATTGTGACACTTCCCACATTTGTATACCACCGTTCCCCTAGGAAGCGCGGGGCAAGAAATGTGGAAGTGGTCCTATTTCATTCCCACAACAACGTTGCGAGGTAAGCTTTGCGGAGAAAGAGCCTGACCCAAGGTCATTCAATGAGCCAAGCGGGGATTCGAACCTGGGACTCCCCCGTCCTAGTCCGAAACTCTACCCACTACACTGCGCTGTATTGCTGCTCCATTGTGGCTCACCTCCCGAAAATGGCCCTGCTGATCAGGCCCCCGGACATCTTTGACCGCCAGATCACAAACGTGGATCCGGCCTCGGGGTCAATGGCTTTTCAGGTGCCCATTGGCGTTCGAGTTCATCTCCCGGCTGAACCGACTCCTCCAGGCGTGATATTTCTTGATGGTTTTTCGCCGGGCAAACCGGCAGATGCTAACCATGAAGACCCAGGAGACGGCGTACATGATCACGCCTCCGATTTTGATGAACCACTTGGGCACGGGGGACATCACCACACAGTACATCAGCCAGGCCCCGACCCCGATGCGCACTCCTGTAAAGAGCACTATGAAGAAGAAGTCCACCACGTCCCCCGTGAAGCTGTGGTAGAGCCCTTTCTCCCGCAGGAACCACCGGGCCTGCAAGAGCGGATTGGTGATCTCGCTGCCAAAGAGGACGGCGTTGACCTCCGCTCCTGACTCACCCGAGAACAGAGACACGGTGATCCCGGCAATGCTCACAGTGTGATGGGCGAGCATCAGCGCCCCTTCAGCCTGGAAGTAGACACACCAGCCCAGGTCGAACAGGAAGTAGCCCAAGCTCATGCACATTGCGTGGATCTGCAGAGTGGTGTTCGGCGATCCTGAATGGAGAAACAGAAGTCAAGAAGAAGAAGAAAGAAGAA